CCTGCTGATTGGGAGCTAGCCAATATTATTCCAATCTACAAAAAGGGTGCAATGAGAAGACCCATGGAACTACAGGCCTGTTAGTCTAACCTCAGTTCCTGAAAAAAAGTGTACTAAGTACTATTGAAAGGCATTTAAATAATAATGCAATCATCATGCACAGTCAACATGGGTTCACAAAGGGAAAGTCCTGTTCAACTAGTTTGACATCCTTCTTAAAGGTCACCCACCTACTGGATGTAGTTTTTCCAGATTTTAGTAAGGCTTTTGATACTGTCCCTCACAGCATCCTTCTGGACAAGTTGTCCAACTGTGGGATGAGCAGGTTCACAGTGCACTGGGTGAAGAACGGGCTGAAGGGCAGAGTTCAAAGGGGCTGTGAATGGGGCTACATCTGTCTGGCAACTGGTCACCAGAGGTGTTCCTCAGGGCTTAGTTCTAGGGCTCGTTCTGGTCAATATATTTATCAACAATCTGGATGCAGAAGTTTAATGCACCATTAGCAAGTTTGCTGATGATGTGAAACTGGGAGGTACTGTTGACTCTCTTGAGGGACAAGACAGCTTGCAGATGGATCTAGAGAGATTGGAGCATTGGGCAATGATTAATGGGATTAAATTTAAAAAGTTGAAATGCCAGATTCTGCACCTAGGACAGAGTAATGCTGGGTGCAAGTATAAGTTGGGAGAGGAGTGGCTGGAGAGCAGCCCTGCAGAGAGGGATCTGGGGGTGCTGGTCAACAGTAGCTGAACAGGAGTCAGCAGTGTGCCCTGGCAGTCCAGAGGGCAAACCCCATCTTGGGGTGCATCAAACACAGCGTAACCAGCTGGTCCAAAGAAGTGATTATCCCACTGCATTCAGCACTGGTGCGGCCTCACCTGGAGTACTTTGTGCAGTTCTGAGCCCCACAATTTAAGAAGGATGTGAAGGTCCTTGAACACATCCAGAGGAGGACAACAAAGGTGGTGAAAGGGCTAGAAAGAATGTTGTATGAGGAGTGGCTAAGGAGTTTGGACTTGCCTAGTTTGGAGAAAAGCAGGCTGAGGGGCAACCTCAATGCTCTCTACAGCTTCCTGAGGAGGAAAAGCAGAGAGAGAGGTGTTGATCTCTTCTCCCTGGTATTCAGTGATATGACGCATGGGAATGGCTCAAAGCTGCATCAGGGGAGGTTCAGGCTGGACATTAGGAAGCATTTCTTCACTGAGAGGGTGATCAAACACTGGAACAGGCTTCCTAGAGAGGTGGTCAATGCCCCAAGCCTGTCAGTGTTTAAGAGGCATTTGGACAATGCCCTTAATAATACATTTGAACTTTTGGTCAGCCCTGAATTGGTCAGGCAGTTGGAATAGATGATCACTGTAGGTCCCTTCCAAATGAAATAGTCTAGTCTATTCTATCTCAACCACCTTCCCATTTACAAATAAATGATTTTCACAGCAAAGCATATCCAGGATGAGCACTGAATCTCACCCAGGCATTTCGAAATCAGTTTCCAGACCAGAAGCCTTCTGACTTGAAACCTTGACTCTGAAATGTCTGGGCTTTGGCACATTGCTCATCAGCCTGCAGCAAATCATGCAAGGTTCAGAGGAAAGAAATACCCTGAAGCTTGGGCTCTTCCCTTCAGGCTCCATGCAAGATCTGCTAAAGAACTTATTAGTGCACTCCACAGAGATGGAGAGCTGGAAATAACTTTTCATTCTCTCATTTAGGACATGCCAGATAGGATCTGCAAGAACCTGAAACTGTCACCAAGCTACTAAAAATGAGGAAACTGTTGGGAGAGACTCAAGTGTGTAACTTGGATACAAATTCTTGAGTGCAAAGAAACTCTAAATTTCTTAAAGAAGTCACTGAGGGAAAAGCAGTCAGTGAAGGTGACAGTAAACATTGAAAACTGATCTGAAAGTCAAAAGGCACAACTATGCTGGCAGACTGTAGTTTTCCTCGGCAAATCTGCTTAAGAGACACAGCTTTAACCCTATTATGACAAAACGTCCAATAAAAAATATTAAGTGCTGCTTAGTATCTTCTCCTCACAGCATTTTCCTTCTTCTGTATCACTGACAAGAATTTCAGTACAAGAATACTACTAAAATGATACTGGCTTCTAAAAGCTATCAAACTGGTCCTTGCAAGTTGTACAAGCACTCAGAATATCCCTAACCAGAGTATACATCCCATTCTTCTTCATTCCTGATACGTCCTCCATTACAAAATAAGTACAGAGTCCTATATAAAAGTCTCCAATGGTCATTGCAAGAATTTGGCTCTTGAGTTCTTCAAGCAAAGATTATTACCCTTGCCATATAGGTGTGCCTGTAACAGCAAACTGGAAAGCACATAGCCAATATTTTGAGTTGTCTAATTTACTCTGACACTAACAGAAGAAACATCAAAGCACAATCATACCCAGCAAGATAGGTAAGAAAAGAATAAATGAGCAAGCAAGATCCCAAGGCCAATATTTATCAAGAAATTATTCAGTTGAAAGAAATGAAACCTACTCAAAGGGGAGAAAAATATCAAGAATGAACAGGAATCACCATAAGCATCATTTGAAGTGGCGGAGACCGAGTTAAACTTATATCAGCTGTAGAAATATGCAAAATAGTTCTAAATCTAAACTCAATTAACAGGTCTTATTCACAGCATCTTAAGAGCTCACTGTGGACTAACTTACTCTCTCAGCCTACACTAAGCTCTATGATGCCATGACTATGTTGTTAAGCTAGATCACCTAAAGCCACCTCAGGTACCTTTGTAATACACTGCCAACTCTGGTTAAACATCACAGGCCATGCCTGTTGAACTGATATTATACAAGTTCTTCACAACACAGCTCCTCATGGGCTCACCAAATCATTCCCATATTTCCTGTGGTGGGGCACATTCAGATTCCAGATTGCATGTCCTGTACAGTTTTTCATAATCATGAATTCACATATTCTTTACGTCTATTTAACAGAGTCCCAGGATAATTTCTCCACAGCTCTATTGCACCTGCCAACCTGCATTCAGGTCAAATAATACAACAGACCTAAGAGCTCACTTGAAAACACATCTATGAAGGAATTGTTCATGTTAAATATAGCTGTCTTACAAAAACTGAGTAACTCTATCTTCAGCATGTATATGCCAGCACTTGCATATTGCAGGAATTTACAGGGTTTAGTCATACACAATTCTTTACAATTCAGAAAATACAAGTGAGGTTCCTAAAGTTCGTTCCCATTTAAGTCATCCCAACATAATGGCATAAAGGGTACTAAAATATTTAAGAATATACATTTATAGGTTTGATTTCTTTCTAAAACACTTATTAAAATATTTCTTTATTCTTCTAAACAATAAAACATTTAACAAATAAGCCTATTATAAACAAATTTTTCCTAAAATAAATTCATAGCATTTAACTGGAATTAGGGACAGCAACCCTTCCAGCTCTTCTAATTCTAACAATAAATACCTGCTAAAGCAGTTCGTTTGTTTTGGTTTTTTTTTTTTTTTAATATTTTACGAGAGTATAAACATTAATAAATTCAAACCACATCAAGCTGACATTTTTAGTTTTGCTCTACTTCGCTGAAATGTATGAATGCAGGAAAAACACATAATATAAAATTAAAGCAGCAAACAGAACGCTTACTTTCTCTAAATGCTTTACAGTAGCCAAGGAATGACAACAAAAAGAACAGGGCACAGAGTAGGTCTGCTCTGCCAACAATCCCAGCAACCTTAAAAAAAAAGAAGTTTCATATTACCAGATTTTTACTGTTAGAAAACCTGAGATTAAAGTACACACACATATACAAAGTAAAATGTACAAAAGAATATATCACTTTTTTTTTAACCTGGTTTACTGGATTAGCAATACCCAGTTTTCTATTCTGCATCCTAACTTTGATTTGGTATTACTTAGTATCAACTAGGTAAACGATTTGGCTTTCATTTATGAAAAACTGCTGTTTTAAGAAATTAAGAAAGACCTCACTGAATAAAATGTAGAGTCTGCCTGGTTCCACCTGTTTTTTGGATCAGGTTACCTTTCAGTAGAACTTTTAGCAAACATCCTGAACCCCAACAAAGCTGGCAGCTCAGCTGAAATGCAAATCAAGACTGCCCACTTTCAGAAACCAGCCAGCCTTCAAATTGCAGTCTGAACACTCAGAACAGACAAATAGCTTCCAGCCTGCAGAATTAGGAAAAAAAAAAAAATTCCCCCTCTGGCAGCTTTTTATATTAATTGATTGCATTAGAGCTACCTCCAAATGCATCTTGTAACAGAAGATGTACTACCACAAAAGAAAATGAGAAGCATGTTCTGGGACCTCTGCGCTCCAGATCTGTGCCAGCCTATATAAATCAAGAGCATTCTCAGGGCCACCAACAAGCTTTGGGTCAAGCCCTTAAACTGTATTTACAATAACTTGCTGAGACACAGCACGACATATTTTTGGGTTTTCATTCCTCAACTACACAAGTGTCAGGATATACCACGAATTTTTTGTGGAAATCATGACATAGGGTGTTGGCAGGAGACTGTATAGGCCCTGGTGTCGGGATCTCACAAGAACATACACCCAGAGCAAGGATCATGGAAACACCCCTTACTTTTCAGTCTAGCTCTACTTCCTTGAGCGCCAGGTTCCATGTTTCCAGCAGAAGAGGTACACAGAGACCTTGAAGCAGGGCAGAACAGCTACCGGGTTTTTTTTTAATCCACTTTTGGAGGTGATGTTTCAGGGGAAAAAAGCAGAAACTTTGGTTCTTGTATAGTACACCAGTTGTCCCATTTTGTGATTGGAATAGAAAGAGGAAAGTAAAAAGACCAATTGTGTCTTCATCTTGTTTAAAGGCACCTGCTAACCCTCTCTCAGGAAAAGGGCATTTTTTGTGTGTCAGTCTGGCACTATGGAACAACTATTTCTACATAACATCAGAGAGGAAAAGAGAAGTGTAGAGGGATGAGAGTAGAACTGAATCCACTGAAGAGACCCTCTCCCACTTCATTTGAGCACCATAAAAGGAGAAACGGTTGGACTCCTAAATTCCATTCAGAAAAAATTCATGATTTATTATCATGTGCTATATATACCAAAGCCACGTATCTAGCTTCCCTGCTTCTTTATCGATCTTATAAAGGAATTACAAGAATTAACTCAATAGCTGTGGAGTGCTTTGAAGGTGAAAATAATGACGTGTCATTCTGTTTCAGGAGCTGCTCTCAGTTAATGAGATAAAAGTAAAGGTGAACTTACACAATTTTGAAAATAAATGCCAACTTGTTACAAAAAAGGGATTAAGGGGCTAATAACACATATATAGCCTCAGATGACTCCAACAGTACAATGTTATCTCAAATGCAGGATCAGGCCTATAGTCTCTGGTAACAAGGTAAACAAAAAAATAGTTTTAAATTAGTATCAGGTACATTCTTATGCCCATGTTTCATTTTTGTAACACTTGAATGATGAAATACTTAGAATAAGCATTTTTTAGAAGATAACTACACCACAAGACTGTTTACTTGTAGGTAGAAAAATTATAATGACAGATGCTTTTCCTACACAGGTACTAAAAGCATTAAACTTTTCAAGACCTGTTTTACATAACAGTTTGTTTTGTGCTATATATACCAAAATCCAAAGCAGCAAACAGCCATTCTTCACAATTTTATGGCAAAATACGTCATCTCATTTCAAAACCAAGATGTCACGATACTTAAAACTTGCAGCTTTAAAATTATGAGGAATGCTTTTTGAGGAGATGCGGCTTGACACACACTCATGCCAGAGCCATAGCAGTATCATGACTGCTTCAGTGCAGCAAGATTTGTTATTTGCCGTGGAAATGATTAGAGGCCTTTGTTCACTCCTGGATCTTTAGAAGAGACACAGTATGTAAGCATGCTACTTTTTTCCTCTTCTTCCAATGCTCGCCCAAAGCACACGCAAGTCTTCAAACGTTGCGTATGCAAGCAGATTGCATCACTTGTAATTTTTTTCAACATGACCAATGTCTCACTAACATTTGCCTGCTGATTAAAATGTATTTTTAAAGTCAAACAGAATGAAGAATAAAATTGTGGATATTGATATAGGAGTCAATAGTAGGCCTACTACAAAGGTAAGACTCAAGTGAGATTTCTCTTTACATGTCAGAACATCAAAAGCATTGAAGACTTGTTTTACTTCGCTTTGACATCTAGAATTGGTTTTGGAGAACAATACAAGTGGCTCTTCTGATACTAGCACAATATGCTCTCACAAAAAAGTTACTCTGCAGGTGAGCAAACACCAGAGAATGACTGGCAGGATGTTTTAGCCGCACGGCCAAAAAAGGTGCCAAATTACTAATACGTAACTTTGCACCATCTCTAGGTTTCAAATACATGCAGGGTCCCCAGTCAGCTCAGAGGTATAGCTTTCCGCAACCTCTTCCCCATCAATCATGTGCAAAGCAAATGAAAAAAAGACAAAACCATGGCATACTGTGAATAAATGAAAATTAGTGCCACATATCTAGAATAAGGTGCACTGAGGATTCAGTGCTCACGCAAAGATCAAAGTTAAAGTTAGTACTTTTTCAGTAGCTCAGTTCTTCCAAACTCTAAAAAATAAAAAAAAGATTCCGGAATTGTTATTATTTTATATTTCATTTATTTATTACTATTACAAGATCAAGCAATCAGGGACCACATCCAGCAAGCCCACTGGCATAAAGCCATAAGATTTTCTTAGCTACGAGTGCAAAACATCTTTTTAAGAAAATCATTTCCTCTTCACTAAAATTTCCACACAAGGACTTTGATCTTTGGTCAGTTATTTTAATTGGTTGCTACACATGTGCCATGTTTCTATTCTGCATCTTTACAGCTTCAACTTCCAGACACTGTTACGCTTTTGTCTGCCCTATTAAAGGGCCCACTACTATCAAATTTGTGTTTCCCATGTACATAACTACTGACTGTGATAAAAAAAAAATAAAAAATCCTTTGATCTTCTCTTTCATATTAGAAAAATAAACCCATGGAGTTCAGAGTTTGATCTCTCATGACATGGAATGATTTCCAGTCCTTTAATCATTTTCATGGCTCTTCTGAGCCCTCTCCATTTTTCCCAGTGTCCTCCTTGCAGCATGGATTCAAAACTGGATGCAGCATTCTGATATAGTCACATATAGAGAGTTCATATAATGCTCCTACTGCAATTTTCTATCTTCTTGGGTTTTTTATCAAAGCAAACGGAAATGAAAAGTGGCTATGCATTTACACCAGTTTATCTTCCATTCTGCTTGGCTGCTCATGAGCTAACGTTTCTAGCAATGAATTCTTAAGCCAGTAATTAGGGAAACTCTGTAATTTAGGGCTATCCTTCTTTAATTATTGTACTTAAATGATTTAATTTATCTTCCTTAATAAGGTCCAGCCCTGTGGAATTACAATCTTTTGGTCGTACTAACCATAATATTTGATTGTTCTCATTAAGACATGTGCCAAGAGAAGCGTTAAGAATATATAAAAGCAATGTGTAGAGTGTAAGGCTATGTCAGAATTAATTAGTCAAGATGGTCAAGAACTTCTAAGATATAAATTGTTGGAGCTAATTATTCCGTACTTACACATTCGGTGTGCACTGGATGTACAGCAAACAGCAAAGCAGCTAGAAGAGATGTCTTTGGAGCCAGGTTTAGCCTTCTTCCTTTATTACTGAATTGCAGTCCTCCCAATAATATCGAGAACACATCAACCATCAACACTGAGATAGTACAATGCAGTATTATATTGATGACATGGAAACCAACTGGGTAGAAGCCTCCAGCAAAAAGGTAATTAATTCTATATAAAAACAAAAACATTAAGGCTAGGAATTACATCAATGGTTAGAGAAACGCAAACAGAAAACCTAAACAACCCCATAAGCAAGATCATATTAGGCACACACAAACAAACAAAAAAAAAGGCTGAAAAATACCAGCAAACTTCAGCACACATGGTATTACTACTCAGCCACCACAGTCAGCTAGAAACAATGTCCTGATATTTACTCAAAGGTATTTATATGGGATACCATATTCAGCATAATATGTAACCTCTCCAAAGACATTTGTTAATGCTGTTATGTTAATCATACCTATGGTTACTTGGAACTGGCTTTCGGTCAGCAACACAACTTCAATGTTGCAAAGCAGGAGTGTCCTGTGGATAAACACCCAGCCTACTGAGGTGAAACCCTTGGGCTTAAGAGAAACTATGTCCAAAACGAACCTGATGAAGTTATTTTAATTAAATCCACACAGCGAGGAAACTAATATGCACTGAGATTATGATTTCCACTGACATTCTGGCTGAAAAACGTCTTGGCATTCGGACCAACGATGTGGAAACGATCTGGGTATAATCAGTATCAATCCAGAAAGTAGTCAGCACATCTTGGTAACTAATTTGCGAGAGGAGTTAGAAAGAGGTTTCATGCAAGTATTAGAACCAGAAGGAGCTGTAAGTTAAAATTCAGTCTAAAACTCTATGCAAGATAGGAACTCTGCAGTAAAATGGAGAAGGAGAAGAAAAGGGAGAAACATTTTGTTATTATCCATATACTTTTATCAGTAGGTGAGATATACAGAAACATAGTTTGCATATATTATATAGTTCATTTGGTCAGTCTGCATCTGGCTTAACTGAAATCTATTAAAAAACCTAACCTATTATAAATGTGATACACATACAAATTGGAGCTTAGGGAAATTAAGGAAACCAATTTCTTACTTGTGAAAATAGCATTTTATGTACCATCTCCACATGCTCATCTATATTTTCACACACAGTAATGACTGTATCCCAGTTCTCTCTTTAAACTAACCAGGATGTTACTAGAAATGGAAAATACCACAGAGACCTTGAAAAGAAAGGAAAGCACGTGCTGTGTAATGCACTGAAAGCTTTAATAGGTTTAAGACTCCGACACATTCTCTTCAGTTGCATATTTTCCTTGATGAAAACGTGAAGAAAGCCCAACGGACAGTGAAATCCACAGTGCTAAGTACTTAAAACACTGACACTGCACTCAAGAGTCAAAGTTTTTGCTTGAATATGATGTCTAAGAGTGGAAGTACTTCTTCTGCAATCACTTAGTTGTTGGCTTAACTGGACACAACTGCAGAACTAGTGCCAGGTCCCCATCCACAACACTGAGTTGCATGGGGAAAATAAAGCAGCTTAAGACTGAGTCCTCAAAGATTCTCCTCATTACTGTGCCCAGTTTCTACTTGGTCTACTGCTTGCTCAAATCTTTGTGCAAAAAACATGAGCTAAGCACCTACACAAGTAATCCTCACAAACCTTTAGTTATTTGAGAAAACCAGCAAGTTACATGTACAGACAGACATCTCTCTCACTAGGATTCTCAGACACAAACACTCACATGAAGTTAGAATATCAGGGGGCGAAGAGGTAGGAAGACTATTCAGTGACCTAGTGGCAAAAGGCCACAGCAGATTGATGCTATTTATAAAAAAATCATTTGACAGATCACCAGGAAAGCAGAGAACAGAAACTAAATAGCGGTGTAAGCAGCAGCATGGCTAAGGGAAGGGAATGCACATCTCCTAGTTCTTTGATGATGTGACCTACATACTGAACCATATTGCCCCTAGTATCAAGGTATATAAAAGCATAAGATGCAATTTCTGAAAGATACATTGAAATACAGAAAGTCAAAATAATATATACTTTGGGAAAGAACCAGTTTGAAAATTAAAACTCAGTTTGAGATTAAGATACTGAACAGAAAAACCATATTCAGGAAAGCTGTCCAACTACCCTCCAGATACTTTGTCTGTCTCCTTTTCTGTTGCCTCCTGTCTACAATAAACTGAGCCAATATACATTAAAAAAAAATTCAGACCTCGAGCAAAAAGACAAGTCTTACCTGAAAGTCAGGACAGTCAGTGGTCGATATGACTTATGACTGGTATTGCTACTGAGTTTGCTACCCCAAAAGTCATGATGCCACAGGTCACCAAGTGGAGTTTCTGCCCTGAGGTCCTGAAAGGAAACATCATGAATTACCAGATTCTTAGCATTTCTGTTTTGTTCAAAGCAGCTAAAATATAAACAAGTTCTAACTAATACAATCTTATGCTAAAATGGACAGAGCAGGTGTTTCGTTGGCGCTCTACTGACATTTGACAAGGCACCCAAGTTCACAATGAAGGTCACATCTTGGATGTCCGTCATCATAAAGGCCAAGATGCTTGGATTCTGTAAGTAGGCATAACTACATGAAATTTAGTAGAGCTATGTGTATTTGTATCAGTTAATAATCTGTCAATAGCTGAGATAACACATAAAAAAAAGCCTTTGATTTTAAGTCTGAGTTATCCTGTGAAGGAGGCCAGCTACAAACTGCTGCAAATTGCTATTTTTCTACCAGTGTCAGTAGCACAACTACTAATGAAAGCATGAAAGCAATGAGACTAAAGATTGAAAACAACAATTAGTCCTTTCTGAAGCCTTTTTTTTTTTTTTTTTAATTCTTAATCCATGAAACCAAGAATCAAAATCTCTATATCCTACCCTAAAAGATTAATAGTGGAAGACAGAAAAAATGCTGGTACTATACCTGCAATTAACCACAAGTTACTCTACCCCCACCTTCTCCCCTGAAATTGTTCAAGAGAACAACAAAACAAAGCAGATTAACAAGCCAATACAAGCACAAGTAAACAGACAAACTGGGTTGCTAAATCCATGAAAGGTCTTACAAATCCCGGCATCCTATGTCTTATTCCTCCTACATCTCCATCTACTTAGAAGATTCCTACATTACAATATCCTTGGTCCACTAACTCCAGTTCCTCTCAAATGCTGCTACCACCTCACTTATTTCTACAGTATCTTGAGCACCTCCTGTGGTCTCCAGCACCTTCCATCTCATCCTTAGCTAGAATTTTTGCTCTGTCAACACGGCAAGAGAGAACACATATCACTGCCAGTCCCACGGAACAGCCAAATGTCTGGGCCACACCGACTGGCTGTTGCTAAACTGAATTTAAAATAACTCGATTTTTCTTGCTTCTCTCAACACATTCTGACTTTCATCCATCCAAAAATCAAAAAAAAACAGGAAAATTTGTATCACTTTATCAAATTTGGCCAGTATTAGGCAAACAATCAAAAAAAAAAAAAATTTGGAAGGGGAAGTATGCTAAAAATCCCAGCACATTGTCAAGTGAAATGAAACACTGTCTAATAGGTTACTTAATCAATATGCAGAAAAGACAGCAGGGCTAACAGAATCACAGAATGGTAGGGGTTGGAGGGGACCTCTGGAGATGACCTGGGCCAACGCCTCTGATAAAGCAGGTTCACCTAGAGCAAGTCACACAGGATTGCGTCACTGTGGTCTTTGAAAAGTCCTACACCGCAGCTGTCAATTAAGGCATTCTCAGGGAAAATATTGAGAAATCAAGACTCACAGGGGATCCCCTTTGGGCTTAAGAATTATCAAGGTGCAAAATTTTTTCAGTCTCTCACAGATGTTTCTACTACCAAGCAACAGCTACAAACGTCTGTCCTCTCCCAGGGTTGCAATTTTGGCCTTAGGCACCTAAATTCCTGTTCCATTCCTCACTGGTATGCACAAACCCTAAAAGTCATAATTTGACTCTCAGAGCAGGAGTGCACTGAACCAGCAGCCCACTAAATCAATATAGCCTGATTTTCCAGGGGCAAGTTGGGACTGCATTGTACACCAACATCTAAAGAAGTCTTTGTACTCTGCAAGGGACAGCTCTTAGGGGGTATTGTGGCCCTCAAACTGTTTTTCCAATCAACAGCACTGCTTCTTATGTGCATTTGCCAAAGAAAGGGACTATGAAAGAGCACTTTTTTTTTTAGTATTAAAATTTTAAAAGCATGTCTTCTATGTCACAGATGGTTTTCAATAACTTGAGATGGGAAATATATTTGAGATGTGCAAGCCTAGATTTCCCTTTCTGCTAGAATCAGTCTTCTTTTGTCTTCCATAAGAAGAATGCAGGAAAAGCTGAATACATGGAATTACTTAGTGATTAGATTACACTTCCATATGACCTAAAAATCTTCAGTCATGTATCTTGCTCTTCTATCCAAGTTCTGTGAGAAAGTTTCTTACGTTAATTTTCCCACTCAGTGGGCTCACCCTAAAATAGGAATGGTTTGCTCTAAGGGACACAGCTGTTTAAAAGTTATGTATGATTTTCTCTTTAAGAACTGAAAGTAGATATCAAAGAATCTCTAAATATTTGATTAGCAGCAGCTTACGGACAGCAGAGTTCAATACTTGAAGAAAGGTCAGTTTTTCTATATAAAGGCTTGTGGAAATGACACATTGTGTCTGAAGCTCTTCCTAATCCAACTGTTTGTCTTGCCAGGCTACCAAATAAAGACAGACAAAAATCACTGCTGTGTATCAGTTAAAATGCTGCTTAAAATGACATGCAAGCATCTGGAAAACAGCCTTGAACACCAATAAAATCTAACAACAGATTGCTCCACGATATCATAGGCATGGGGTCAACTAACAGTGTATCTTTTGCTTAACAAAAAAAAAAATTTCAAAAAATTGAGAGATTGGGGTGGTGGTGGGAGCTAGTAAATTAACAAAGGTAACTGTGTGGTACCCAAGAAAATACTGGTATAGTAATGCTCAGCAAATCTACAAAATTACTTCACCTTCTGTCTCTCCTATTGAATAGGAATAAAACATGCTATACTTTGTTTAATAAACTGTGCCTTTGCTAGATGCTGTCCCCCCCCCCATGAATATAGTAAACTCATTGTCTCTGCATTTTTCTTGTGGATTTTGTATTTCCATATATTCATATGCTCCCTGTGTTAAAATGATACTGTCATAAAAATCTCATTTAATTTCTAGGAAATAATAGAGGATTTTTGATGTGAAAAATAGAATAAGCCTCACAGTTTTTTAAACATACAGACTACGTATAAATTAACCTATTTAAGTAGTTGGTTGAAATTCTCAGCATTGCCAACAGCTATAATCCTGATGCAAGTTGTTGTGTGGCATAGATAAATTGAAATATTTTGAAAGTAAAGACTGAAAGAAATGGAAAAAGATTACAAGTGTGGAAATTGCACATGAACAAAACAACCTGACTTGTTTCAACATGAGTCTTATGTTCATTCTTTCAGGAAATTAAAATATAATCATGCCCCAAATAAAACTTTGCAGAATGAAACATTGCTAGAAGCTGTGTAATTTAAAATTTAATGCTTCTTAAAAAAAAATAAAAATCACTAGGTTCTTAATTTGTCTATAGTATTATTAGAAGCTTTGAGATTTAGTTCCAATTTGGCAGATGTATTTTCCCCCATACATTTATAACTTAAGGTACGATGACTTACACAAGCATAATACAAATTTGTCTAAAGAAACAGTAATTCTGAGGGATTCTAAAAGGCACACTGAGATAAGTTGCCGCCAAACCTTGTGCAAGGCAAAAAAATTGTGAATTGTGTTCTTGTAGCGGTATGAGTGTCCAGATTATCCTCCTTGTAACCCCATGGCTTCAGGAAAACAGAACCAACAGATGAGGGTGATTCTTTTTACCCTGTGCTTCTCTTTCCAAACATTTCACAAGTACCTTCCAGAACAGCATAAGAGCTCTAACACCAAGACCCACCCATAGCAACAGGCTAACTAACTGCTACATGTCATTCTATGAAGTCTCTCAACAATTGAAGATGCTCAACTCCTCAAAGTCAAAAGAATCTCAGCTAGAGGTTTGTTCAAGTCACATGTGAATTTCTAAGCATTTGAAGGATTGTTCATTGCATGTTTGATCAGTTTTAAAATAGAGCACAAGAATATTCTGCCTGTATTTCAAAAAAATACTTGTCACAGGAACTTTAAGTGGGGAAGGAGCATAGGAAAAGGAAGCTTTCCTTGCTCCTGTAACATTTTTATGGTATAAACCACAGTTGGGCAAACCCTGCACCCTTAGTGATTGCTTAGTGATACATTATGTATCTTGCAGCCACAGGAGGTTTATTCATTGGGCTTATTCACTGTCACCCTAGGAAGATGATGAGAAAATCTCCCATTAACATCAACAGGCATTAGAAAAGTCTACTGCATATTCTCATGGGCTTTGAAATGAACATAAAATTAGATCTATAAGCAGTTTTGATGTACAGGTACCCTGCGAATAAGCGTTAAACATCATATCCAAATTTACTGCAACCCTAGATAATGCTTTCTTAGATGACAAACAGATAGAGTCCACTTGGTATGGCAAAAAGAGCTCCCTTCCCCTTAACAGATATCACCACTTGTTAAGCAGAGCATCTCACTTCCAAAAGAATGAAAGAGGACACATTCTGAGGAGGGGGGTGGGGGGGAAGAGCTGTTTAATTTGTTTACTCTTTTGTTTATGCATTAGAACATGAGAATCCAAGCCATGTTTGTTATTCAAATAGCTTTAGGAGTAAGATTTTGTTAAGCATGCTCATGCTTCTAGCTTTTTGGTAGAGCACTGCTGCACAGTTTGTTTGTCAACCTTAAATAAGGCTCACTTAAAAAAACACAATAAAACAAAACAGAAACATGAAGTTCAAAAAAAAGGAATATCAGAAGGAAGCTCTTTACTATGATGAATATTTTGGGCCTACTTAGATCAACTGTTGTCATTATTTCTTTTCCTACTACCACTTATGTCAAAGGGTGCACAGGGAAAGTAGAGACAAACCTTATTATTGATGATGGCTTCAGAATCATCAAAGACAAAATCTCCATCATAGCTGTTAGCAAAACAGAGGAAGGAAATTAATGCCACAACCATTTTAGCCCAGTATGATGGGAGGAGGAACCATGACACATCATGGTCCAGATTAGGTTCTGTTTGTGCCATTCTGTGAAATATTTGTTCCAAGTTGGGAGCTTCAGCATTATGTTGGTTGCAAATCTGAAAGAAATATATAAAAATGCACAGTTATAGTTGCATTTCACTAAAAAAGAATTTCAAAATGGAGAGTTGGGTTGGCAGAGGAGAATGACGTTTCATACAACCTAACATTTTTCTCTCAGTGTGTTTCATAATCACTAGAACATATCTAAACATAATTTTGTACTTTGAATGTGGAAGAAAGGCACAGTTTATCATGGTCAGAGCACAGAGATAAAGCCAAGAAAATCTTAGATTCTAAGTTAAAGCTTTGGCATAGGTAAATTCTAAAACCTTGAGCAAATAACTGTTTTTCTGTTTCTTGCTATTCAAGTACAACAAACAGGAGCATCATGGAGACTGTGGAGCATTTATAAAGTTCTTAAGAGAATGACAAGCACTATAATTTCCTTTTGAGTGTGAAAAACAAACATCATCAACTGCAAAAAGAGCTCAACTCTCTTCTGTTAATTTAATTAAATGACCTAGTCTTCTACATAGTCCACACAGGGAATTCATACAAACATCACAGGTAGACATATACAGATAGCAGTTAATGGACTAGGCCCTAAATCTCAACAATTCAAACGATGAGACAAAAAGGTGCATACAATTAAGACCAAAGCAGTGCTTATTAGATCACTCTGCATGCTGCAAGTACAGCATAGGCTAAATTCCACTGCTGTATTCATGGGCTTCTAAGGTTGTCGAAGCAGATGAAAAAGACCATGTAGTCCAACAGCATTGAGTGATACATCAGTGTGGAGGTACTAAAGCTGGAGGTTTACCCATGAGCCACCTTTACTTGGAAAGATCTCTTCTGATGCTCCAAAGCCAGCCCTCCACCTGGACAGCTATTCTGCCTCTGCTTCTCTGGTGCCCTGACAGTATTATGATTGGTCTTATTATCAAGTGTCGCTATAAATGGCAGTGGGAGGAGGTTACGAATTGAAAACTACAGTAAAAGCAGAGCAGAATACAAAGTTTTTATTTGTAAGCCCCAAGAATGATAAGCACATACAGTAGCCCAGCTTCACACTTTTCTTATTTACTGGCTTTTTAAATCAACTGTTGCACCCCTGAAAACATTGCATTTCATGTCTTCACGCAATCTAGGAAAACGCTCCAGTCATTTGGCTTCTTGAACAGACTTCACCATTAGAGCTGCTAAGGCAACTGCTCTGTAGCTTTCTGTTTGCAATGTGGAATTCCAGTCTCCCCGTACTCCCAATCTCCGTACACACACATGCACAAGGGACAGGCAGTACTCCATGTCACAGCAGTGCCTCTTTTCGCTTTGGGGGCTACATAGGAGTGCTCCCAAATTCAGATAAAGTCACTAATATGGAGCTGTGTAACCTGAGACAGAGCGGAGCTCCTTCGCAGAGCATACTGGACCATCCACTTTAAGAGCAAAACCTTTCCTCAAAGTAATTCACCCTTGTGCTCTTAGTTTAATGAAAACAAAGACTAAAAGCAAGGCTGTTAATCAGATGGAAGCGTATTGCATTGCTCCTAACACCACAGACAGGGCATCAGTGCACGCTACACAATTACTTAATCTACTCAAAATCCATTTTGCCCTGAAAGTTTCTCCCATTACGCCTGTTCTATTCATCCGATGTGCAACTGCTGCCGGTCCTCTCCGCGCCGTCCAGAACAGCAGGCCAGTCCGAGGGGTCTGCTTTGCCCGGGCAACGCGTGAACCACCCAGGCGGGCTGAGCACCCCCCGGGGACCGCGGCCTCC